AGAGCTAACAGTCATTCTGGCTCCCTCTTATGGCCGATTGGGGAAAACAGCAACCAATCACATTTTATGGTATGCTTTAAAGAAACAGGTATAGCATTGTTACATGATTTATATATTGCCAACCCAAGCGTTAGATTATATTACTAACAAATCTTTTGGCCCTGGGTGCTACAACCGTCATAAATGCAACCCAGTTACCAAGCACACAACTTGCGATCCTGTGAGTACAGGGATGCTGTAATGGTCATCAGTATGAGGGCCTGTTGTAAGTCACTGTTTTCTTTTTTTTAAACTACAGTTTTTTTATTTTTCCCTTTCAAATTCATTCACAAATATACATTCTTATAATTGCTATTTAACATTTGTCTATTCATCATTAGTCTCTACAATTATTTTTACAAATCTATATGATACAGTGACCCAAACTGTATTATGTAAGTCACTGTTTTCAATTCCACTGTGACACTGAAGGGTCACTAAGCAAAATGGTCAAAAATCAAGAACTATCTATAGCATGGGTGTCAAACTCGATTGCATCATGGGCCAAATTGTGACATATTGTGACGTTTTTCTGCCTTTGCCTAGCTGGGGTGGGTTTCGCCTGAGTATGGCATATCTGGACCGTGGCCCAGCAGTTTGACAGATTCTATAGGGAGAAAGTCTATAGTATCCAGTTTGTTCAATTGGAAGTCTAACTATGTATGCCCAGTTCATTTTCAAAGATGGACCTGCACAAGCAGTCTAATTTAAATAGGCAAATAGGGCTTCCTGATCTAGGGATGACCATAACTGGCACATCAACTATGGCTAGACACAAAGACTTCTCCGGCTACTGCTTCCACTGCCCATTCATAAATCAATGCTTTCAGAGGAAGCATGACTCCATCAAGATTGCCCACATTGGAGATGATAATGGAATGGAATAGGATGGGGTGGGCAGGGCAGTGTCTGGAAAGCATGTGCATGTGACAGTGTGCCCACACCCATAATGCAATGTATGCGTGACCTCCCCGTGTGAAACCCCCCCCCGTGCATGCACATGTGAGCCCCCATGTTCTCCCCCCCCCACGCATGCACCCTACCCCACCTCACCCATTTTTTTGCTTCCAAGTCGGTGCAGAAGGCTTTCTAGGTCCAAAATGGTGCACGGGAGGGGCCTCGCATGGCACCCCCCACATCTCGTTTTGGCCTCCAGGTTGGTGCAGGAGGCCATTCAGGCCCAGGCCCGTTTTGGGCTTGGAAAGCCTCCTGCACCAACCTGGAAGCCAAAACATGGTATAGGGATGGCATGCGAGGCCCCAAAATGCAATGTTAGTGCCTCCCCCCCCCCCTGTGCATGCACGACAGCTGAAGACCAGCTGGCCAGCGGGAGGCACATATGCACAGTGGAGCTGGGCTGGGGCAGCAGCTGGTGTGCCCGCAGAGAGGACTCTGCGTGCCACCTGTGGCACACAGGCCATAGGTTTGCTCTCATGGCCTTATACCATTTCACACAAATGGTTGTCCAATTTCTTCTTAAAAAGAGAGACATAGATAGATCATGCCGAAACAGCAACTCTTCTTGGTAGGTTTTTATTCCAAACTTGTTTCCCCTTCCACTCAGTCCCAGAATATAAGTAAATGCATTAGAAATAAATGTGACAGAGCTGTCTTCCTTAGTGGAGTGATAGGAAAGCAGGGGAAGTTTTCAGTAAGAATTTGGATGGAGAAAAGAGCCCAAATTTATCCCATTATGGTGATTTGTTTTCTTAGGCGTTACGCTATTTATCTGAAGATGCTGCAAGGGGCAGCCCCACAAGCAGATACAGAAGTTAAAACCAAGCCACATGCTGGCTTAGCTGACTCTGTCTCTCCAGGAGGTCCTTGTTCAGGAATCCTATGTTTTGGGTGGAATTAGTTGCTGTCACGCAGAAGGACTCAGAAATGTCATTGTTACCGAAGAATCTGTTAATGATAGAAGAATTTTCTGTTCCCATTTATCTTTTTTTTAATCCCCTCTAAAAAAGCAGCTTGTGCATGTAGCTGATTCAGCTTCAAGGGAATTAAAATGTGTGGA